ACTATTTTCAAGAACTTCCTGAATGAGATCTGGTTTGTACGTATTTTATTACCCTCAATGAACGTATCCTCCTTGAACTTGTCTAGCTATCCCTTGAACTCATGTGAAGCTTTAGTATTTACAGCAACATTTGGCAAACTTCCTCAGATGTATTACCCACTGCATGAAGAACCACATCTTTTGGTTCTGAATACAGCTCGATTAGTTCAGTTTGACGTTCCTAGTTCTCGGACTGCGAGAACAAACAATCCCTATCCACCAACTCCATGCAATCCTTGATTTTATAGACCTCTGCTACCTCTCTCCAGCATTTCTTTCCTACTTTGGCCTTACTCAGTTGCTCTTCCTGCAGAAACCATTTCATGCTTTGGATCATCCTTGTTGTTTTTTTACTGACTTTTTCCACTTCTATTATATGCTTCAAGCAATGAGGAGGCCAAAACTGTACACGGTGTTCAAGATATGAGCAAATCATGGATTTACTCAGTAACTTAGTGTTCTGCGTCTCCCCTCTCTCTCTCTCATTATAGTTCTTAACAACCGATTAGCTCTTTTTCTGACAAATGAATATCTTAGAAGCTGCACAACTTGACTGCATTTTCAGGAAAGAGTACTTTAAACCTCCCATGACAGTCTGGGAAGCAAGGAGTGGATCAGTTGAACTTGTGATGCAGTTCCAATGAAGAAATACTAGAAACTTCTTGGCAGTAATGCCCTTAGAAACAAAAAAAATTGCAGGGACATTTTTGGACCAGACTATCCAGACTACAAAGGCATGATTCACCTATGCATTCAGTTGCTGAACTTCATACCATCAGTTCAGCAGAGACTAGAAGGAAAGAAACAGCTGTAACTTTGTACGGTGCTGGAAACAATTTTGATCAACTTCAAAGTGTTAGGAGCACTTGGAGAAAATTATGCAGCATTTTCAAAATGCTAACTATCAAGTAGAAATTATTAGTCATTAAGGAAGCATAGCAATTCAGCGCTGGGAAACAGATACTTTTAAGAAATTAAAATAAATGACCACAGAAGTCTGCAGCCAGTGGCTGTCATTATTGATAGGGAACACGCTTAATCATACATTTCAGTAAGACCACAGCAGTTTTGCTTCATCAGTTTGAGTTTTAGCATTTCAGGAAAGAAATTTCATGGACTTCAGAGAAAGATGGATTCAAACTAAGCGCAAACTGGAAAAAGGATACTGTTAACCAAATAAACACTTCTTTCAAACAATTTGACAACAAGAAAGGAAAGAGAAGTGTATTAAAGAATTGTTTATTCTAGCCCTGTACATCATGTTGGACCACGTTCCTCAATCCAAGAAGTATATGCTATTTATGAAGTTTCTAATACAGCAAAACAACTTTCTTAGTAAACTCTTTAGCTGGTACTCCTATCATTCATTCTAGATGGTATTGAATATGAAAATCTCTATCTTGCTTCTAAAGACTTTTTTTTTTTTTTAAACAGAAGAGTAAACTGTTAGATGAAATATTAACTCAATTGAACTTTTTGTTATTTTTGGAAAATGCTTTTCTGGTATTTGTTGGAAGATGCATGTTCTTCCATTTTGGTGAAAACGAAAAGGATTGTATTAAAGTAGTAAAATTATTAATAGCCTCTGAATTTTCACAAGCAGGCTCAAAACACATTAGCTACAAGGCCACAATTAGGCATGGTACAAAGTCAGCCCAGAGGAAAGTATGTTTTTACCACAAACTTTTTGTTTTGCCAAAGAAAAAAGATTTCTGCCATTTCAAATTTATTTTTACAATCAATCTTGGTACAATACAAAGCATCAATAAAAGAGTTAGCATTTTAAAATTCTGTTAAATGCCATTTTGCACTATTTTTCCTTTTTTTTTTTTTTTGCTTTTTTGCTTTCTACAGAGAAATTTGTTTATTCCCAGAAACTGAAATAACATATAGCTTTTAAGCTCCAGAGGAATATTATCACATAAAATGATTTCATGATAGCCACCCAACTAGTTTTACAAGATTTGTTAATGCTTCAGTAAATTTAAGGTCCTGCCCCAAAAAATAACATCTTAAAAAATATACACGCAAAACTGCTGCTTAGTTCCTCCTGAATTAAAACGTGCTTTCACATAATTACAACTTTTCAAAATATTTGATTCTAATGTTTGAATTTATGCTAACACATTGGAAAAAAGCTCCTTCATGTAAAGTCTTCTGTATATGCAAAAAACGGGGAAAATAATGAAAACAGAACATCCACCTGTTCTGGCAACACTGAAGAATTGTCATTTAAAACTTCTGCATACTACAAGTATTTGTAAGTTAATTCACGTGATCATAAAGTAGAAGAACACTAACACTTAAGTGGGCAATTCTTAAACGGAAGTATTCCAAGAATTTCCAGTAAGCTGAAGCACTCTCAGCATTTACAAATCTCAGAAACAACAACAGAGAAAAGGAACAGTTGCCTTCCATGGTGGAGTTCTTGCTTGTACAGCACAAGCCTCCATCTGCAACTAGCTGATGTTTTATTTCTTAATACTACATTTTACTGCTCTGCTTTGCATGAAGCGGGTTTCTACAAGGGCATCTTTTTTTTTTTTTAAACTGGAAGATGCATTTTTTTTTTAAAGGAGATAGCAAATGCATTCAAGGGAAGGAGGCTGTTCCAAAGGAGCAGATAACTGAAACGAGACCAGAGATGTTGCTGGGAGAAGAGGCTGTAGGACTTGAGCACAGAACAGGGGGTGACAAGGACAGACAGACCTGCAGTGAGAATCCACTGGCTGGACAATGAAGCTAATGAAAACAAAGAAAGTCCCCAGCTATCAGGGGCCATGCTACAAATTCACTCAGCCCTTCAGCAATGTGACCATACCGCAGGACCAGTGCCAAAATGGGGCTGAAATGATGAAAGATGACAAGCTATTAGCTGTAGTTATTTCAGAACTATATATACACAAACTTCATGGTTTACCCAAGAGCAAAAGCTCCCTTCCATGAACCAGAAAATTTAATGCTAGAAATAAAACATATCAGATTGGGCCACAGACACACACACATAAACACACACTCTTGTATGCTTTCCAAGGCGGCTGCATTCTCACCGAGGCAGATGTTGGACCCAGTGAATACTATGGGGGGGAAAAGGGGGATTCAAACTTCTGACTTCTGGCAATTTCTTATATTATTCTCTTCCCCCAATTTTGCCTTAGTTGCAAATTTTGCTGTCAATTTTGTAAATTATCTGAAGCTGAGATCCTGGAAAAGTACTTAGGAGAAAATCTCAGCTTTATGGGCTGCAATAGATATAAATATTGCTCCACTCAGGTCAGGTTACTCTTCTCTTGTTATATCTGGAAATCTGTTTCAATAGCTCATCCTCAAAACTCCTTGCACTCTATAAACACTGTTCTTCCAACAGCTTAGATGTCCTACAAAATTAGCTTCCTCACCACTTCATTCTGTGAGTAGGGAAAAAAGGAACAGGATTATAATCCAATAATCTTGTTTCTTTAACATATATCTAGAGAAAGTATGTAGTCCTGCCAAAGACAGAGAGGTAAACAAAAAAAAAAAAAAAAAAAAAAACAGATGACAGGCTTCAAGGACATTACAGATTTGAAATATTCAAGTCAATATGCAAAAATTTTCTTGTGGACAAGGGAATACATCTTCCTTTCTTCCCTGAACATCTGTCTGCATTAGGCTGCCATGCCAAAAAAACAAAAAAAACAAAAAAAAGTTTTTAAGTGAACCACCTACCCTGGAAAAATGTAGGTGTTTTACTTCTACTAAACTGAAGAAAGGCTTATATTACCTCAGCATGCAGGGAAATTCTCAGCACAGTATGACCAACAAGTAAACTCTTTCATCATGCACACAACACAGATTATAATGTGAAACATCTGCACTGGGTAAAAAGGCACACTACAGAAGTTAACAATGACATAATGTCCTGGTTATAAAAAAAGACGTACAAAGCACTTCTTCCCTTGAACATCAAAAACAAAACTTTCCCACTGAAGACAATACATAAAACAGTCTCCAGAACTCTTCTTTCTCGTAAGATTCAAACAATCCTATCTTTCATGCTCACAGGACAGATTGCCAATTAACCATCCCCTAAACTTGTAATTTCAATGTCAGAACACTGAAATTGTTATACTAACACAATTTGATGACAAAATACTGCCTTATATTTCTCCAAGTCTTACATTGCATCAGATAGCACACTCAGTTACAGTAGAATTAGTGAAAGTTCTGTTTACTGTTGGAAAGATACTACTGCCCTCTCTGCTACAAGAGCAGCATGCTGAACATCTGAAAGTCTACAAATAGACAGTAAAAATAATACATGCCACACGTTTTCTCTAATCAATCATTACTTCAAATCAAGACAGACCACCTCTGGAAATTTTTGATTTTAGCATATCTTCAGCAGCCCACAACAAGCTTCAAGAATAACACCCACAGAATTCAGTACTGAGTAAGAGTTAACTAATACCATAACAGGCATCTAACTTCAAATGGAAGGTTTTGTTCCATAGCCAAAACAATTAGCCGAAGTCACTAATTTATGCTACACCTGAAAAACAGAATATCAAGACTGCAAATAAAATCACAAAAATCAATTTCCCACATATAGATCTAACCCTGGACAATGTTTCAGGCTACTAATAAAATGTTAATCTAAACTTCCTCCCCCCAACCATAACAATCTCTCTACAGAAGAAAATAATTAAAAAAAAAATCTGACAGTCATGAAGAACAATCTTAAATGTTTATATAGTATAACGACAGAAGATCCCGCGTAAAAGAGCTAAAAAGAGAAAATGCAATGCACAAACAGCTATACACACTTCATAACTGAAATACAATATAAAAAGCATTCTCTCTCCCTACTTGCCCCAAAAGCACCTAAAAAGACAATTTATGTATGCCATCTCCTTCTGACGCCCCTCCAACAACGTATTAGCAAAATGCACGTGTATTAAATATAGAGGAAAAAGCCTTACTCTGCTATATCAAGATATCCACAGGAAGCAGCTGCATGTAGAGGTATCCAGCCTTCATTATCTGGTTGATTAATATTTGCTCCATTTTCCACCAGAAATTTCACCATATCTACGTTATCATCTATACAAGCCTATAAGGAAAGAAAGATTTAAGAAATGAGTTCATATTAAAGTTGTTCTTCCAACACTGTGTATTTTTAAGAAACATCTTCAGGAAAAAAAAAAAAAAAGATGAGCATTTTCAGGTATGATGAGGAAGCATGGTTTGTTGGGATCTGACTGGAGAACAGGATAAGTTTGAGAGAAAAGCAGTAGCTATGCCAGGTTTGTCAAAAAAAAAAAAAAAACTGAAACAAAAGAATCCAAACGAGTTTAACAAAGCCAACAAACATGATTTCCTCAGATAAATTTGTTCTGTTTCTCAGTAGAGCCATTTACAGTTGTCACTGTAGCCTTGCTCTCCAGTTCCTTTTACGAAGTCCCCAGACCCTGCTCCATGCTAGGCCCAGCTTAGTCAGCTGAGATGATATTTCAGTTACCAACGTTCTGGCTATACCACACGGTAGTGTTTTCACCAAGAGAGGGGCAACAGTTTTGAAACCAATACCCTAACAGGGCTTTAATTATGATGCTGTTGAGGCTAAGGAGTACGGATGGGGATGCTGAGTTGCATTTCGACGACACCTTGCTGTTTTCTACTACCCAGTACTCTATACCACCATACATCTTTAATCACTGCTGTTTGTAAGCTTACTTGGGTATCAACTTGGCACACGGCAAAGATAGTATCTTTTGTGCGCACACTATATAGTGTCTTTCTGAATTACCAAGCAAACAATATTGCAGATGCAGAACTACTGTCGCTCTCCAGCTCTCCATCTTGCCTGGCTCCTATTTTGCCTTTCTTCTCCCAGTTTGAGTATTTTTCTCACAGGGTGCTCAGTGGGTTTTCTTGCCACCTTCCATACTGCTGCCCTTAAAAGGGCAGAGTATAACACAGAGAAAAGTCCCTCTGCATTTCAGGACAGAGGACTCGGAACAGCTAGACCCCACAAGACCGGTATTTATTTTTTAGCTTAATAAAGCAACAATACTACAGAGTCAGAAGGTTGATACAGGAACTTATATTGCCAAGCTTCTAAATCCTTCTACAGAATTATTTCTCTACTAAAAAACACAGTACAAATTTTACTTTTTAGAATACTTCCACAGAAATAAAGACTGAAAATTATATACCACTTCATTACTGCAGAGATCTCAGCTTTCCTTATTTAAGCAACTGTGCCTTCCAAGAAGGATTCTGAGATCTTCCTCCCTTCTGATATTTCTATGGTCATTTCTGCAGTGCTGAGGCAACAGTTACAACATAAGAGAGACATGTGGCTGCCCTGTTTAACCAGCCAAATAAAAGCAGCAAGAAATTATCCCTCTCTGACCCCACTTGCTTTCATAAGGTATGAAGTTAGGGCTTTGTTTAGAATGTGACACAGAACTGTTTTAACAACGAGTCCAATTCCGACTTGTTCATCCATAAACTTTCGGCGGTACTGCAACGAACCCTGAAGCACACAGCTCACACTGTTTTTCAATTAAAAACAAAAATATAAGCTTTTGGGTGAAAACGTTACTAAACCTAAGTCACTTTCCTACCTTGTCAGGTAGTCTTGATAACTGCCTTTTTCCAGGACATTTTTTAATTGCATAATTATTTTTAGTTATATCCTTCCCTCAAATCAAAGGCAATTATTTTAATAATCTGATTTATTAACATATTCCAAAGACTATTAGCCGCTCAAGTATATGATCTTTAATGTTTTCAACGTATCAGTGTACAATACTTATCACAGTAAAACATCCTTCAACAACAGAACTGTCTCTTTGCAAGTCGTCGTTGTTACTCAAGCAAAAAGTAACTAATCGTATGATGTCATAACTCAATTCAAGATTAGAAGAAATTCAAGAAACAAAGATGTTTACACTTAACAGAAACATTAACTTAGCTTTTTTTTCCATACGTGTAGTACATCTAGTTTTTCTAGCAAAACTCCAACTTGCCTGACCACTGAGATCTTACTTATCATATCTGCCAATTTACTATAAGGAAAATAGATTAATATTTGTGTGAGAAAACTTTTAAGTTTTCTGAGCATTTTTAAATATAGACCTTTTAATGCTGCTCTTCAATATGCTGCATACTCCAGTATGTTGCAGTCCCCCAAAACGCATCACCTGTGAAAAAGGTCATCTTAAAATTGATTAGTAATATTTTAAAAGGGAAAAAAAAGAAAGAAAAAGGTCAGACCATCTGGTTGTGACACAAGCCATCTACAGAGCAAACCTTGCCCATTTTTCAAGTATACATAAGAAAAAACTGGCAAGACATACTCAAAAATACTGTTGCTAAGTGAATCAAAAGCTTACATATGCAGCACATAAAAAGACGTATGACTAAGTGGCTAAAAATATTTGACCAAATTCGGGCAGTTTATTGTGCCATATACGGCAAGAATTAGGAGAGCTCAAACACACTTCTAAGGTATTATCAGATATTATCTTTGCTTTTCATGAATGTATATAATCATATGTATTAAGACAATACAAGAATAACCACCATTTACTTGTAGATGCAAATAGGAAAGTACTGACATCAGTGGTGATCACATTTGAGAGATTTAAATATGTTCCTCATAACCAATTATACCATCTGAGCAATTGTTACAACAGTTTTATTAAAGGATAACAGCAGCCAGAGAAGCTCAAACGGATAAAATGGAAGACTGCTGTACAATTTAACAACGTATCGCCTTTGAGTTTCTTTGCACAAAAACTTATTTTAAAATTGTCAAGTACGAGGCTTTTTAAAAAAAGGAAACAGTCTGTGACCTCCAAAAAAGTTATTAGCTGTCTTAGGGTGAAGAAAAGGAAATGCAATTGATCCTGTTGCTGAAGGACATTATATATACGTCCTATTGCCCCTTGCCCTCTTTCCCCCTTTAGCATCATAGGCTATTTGATTGACCTTGCCACTCTCACCACTCATCGTGTAAAAGACCTTTGATTATCAGCAAGTACCTTAAGTCAGAAAGCCAAAAAATAAACATTATAAAATAAATTTTATCTCATTGTTTCTCCGTTTCCCCTCTCATTATCACTGTGTTATCTTCCTATTCACTTCTAAAAAGCAGTATTTATCAAGTGCCAGAAGCGTCTCTATTGCTGGAGCCTGACAACTTACCCCAAAAGGAAAGCTTTTCACATCTGCATGATAAACTGAAAGGAACAGTCTCAGAAAAGTCTGTCCTAAATCTCAGTATGCTGCATCCTGAAAACTATGATACAGGAAAAAACAACATACGTACAATATGTAAATAACAAAAGTTATTTACGAGTGCACTGATATCATAATGAACCTGAAAGATAAATTCCCATGCATGTGTCCATCAGTCTCTCTGCAGGACAGCTACAGGCCCTCCTCCACCCCCGCGACCGCTACAGCCCCTCCGGTACCAACCATCCTTTCTGTGCTCTCACCTGCCCTGGCCCAGCCTCTCCCTTCCGGATCCTGGGCTCCCACCCGCGGCCTCAGTTCCCACTTGGTCAACTGACAGGTCACCTGGAGGCTCGGTCCAAATGCTGCCTCACCACCCAATTAGCAGAGGTTGCACACCAGCCAGCTCACAGGGCTTGCAGAAAGTAACAGGAGCCTGCGCTGAAGCCTCTTCTGCCCAAGCACTGGTTTGTGTCTCCCCAGCCCAGGGCCCAGTATCCGCAGAACCCAGCCGAAACGGAGCATTTCTGAGGCATCCACTACCCTGTCAAATTCGATGGAAATTAGCCAGCAGGCTCCCAACTGAACAAGAGCTGGACACAGCAATCATGTAAACATTGTTCCCTTATGCCTAATTGTCCTACTTTCTAAATCAGTTTCTTAAAAGCAGTAAAACAAAGCAAGGATGGTAATACAAAGTCTGGTTACCTTTTCCGACATGAGCAGACATTAAACCCCAAAGAAAAAGTATTAAGGCCCAGTAAATAAAGCTGCTTTCTATTTCTCCAATAACCTGAAGTTTGGGCTGCAAAGAACGGCAAAGAGCTACAGCACGCTGCTCCCACACAAACCCTAGGTAAGTCCCAACTTGTCCTGGAAACAAAATGGCTATGTTTAGTGAAACAAAATTTTAAAATTTCCCCAGAAATACTTTTTGATCACTCAGTAAGATTAGACAGAGGCTTGCTGAACACGCGAGATCTTTAACTGTATTCATCATGACTGCATATCCCAATGTAAGCAGTATGTGTTCTAGCTGCCTCTGTCGCCACTATCAGGTGTTAAGTACATAGGTGAAGGGTGGACTCGAGTTAGTAAGTAACCTTAAAAATAAATAGTTTCAAAACAGATATCTAGAGTGTTTGGTACCTCAGTGAGTAATGACCTAAAGAATTCAGTAGACTACTCCTCCCCACAAGAAACAAAAAACAAGTCTACATTGGAAATGGACAAGCAGACAGTTAAACAGACTGTCTCATATACATGGAGTGAAACTATACCACATATATCTTATTTGAGCTACAATTTTTTCTTCAATAAGGATATCTAATGAAGTTTCAGTTTGATTTTTTTTACTGCTGTTTTCTAGATAAGGACTAAAAAAGCTATGTTTTACTGTCACCTGATCACTGTCCTTACCTATTCCACAAATTAGTATTTTTTGCCTCTAAGAAGAAAATAAATTCTACAAGTTTAACCTCTATCATCACATTTTGGTTTTCTTTGTCTTCAGTAAACAGAGAAGTCAAAAAATATAACAGAATAATATATTAGGGATGAAGCAAGTCAACCATGAGCTACAGTACATTCCTTCTACATTAAAACAATTCCCACTATATCACATTAAGACCCACTTGATCTCTGTCATGTTCTCTCATTGATGCAGTCCCAGCAATGTACCAGAAATAATCATCTTAGCACAAAAGTATAAGACTGGAAATCCTGATACCCAAGTATAATCCAACCGAGTCAAACTGTCATCTGGAAAAATCCACTTCTTTGCTTTTTTTCTTAGAATGAATACTAAACGTCATCTAGAATAAATACTAATGTCACATACAGATTAGAAAGGCAAGGAAGAGA